GGGGACTCATTCTTCTAGATCACACTGCAGTCACTTACAGAGAAGGTGCAGCAAGGTAAATCTAGCCATGTATCAATCAGAGGCCAGGCTAACCTTCTTGTTCCAATAAGGACAATAACTTAGGTGCACCATTTCTTATTGGAACCCTCCGTGAAGTCCTGCCTGAAATACTCCTTGATGTAAAGCCACCCCCTTTGTTGATTTTAGCTCCCTGAAGCCAACCCTGTAAGCGCCCCTCCCAGCGTCAGAGCAATGGCAAACAATCGGGCATCTGAGAGTGCTGTCCAGAGCAGTCACAATGGAGCACTCTGATGGGGCTAAAACATTGTCGCGGGTGGTTCTGGGTACGTGTCGTCAGGCCCCCGTTCCCTCCCTCCCTCCGTGAAAGCAAGGGCAGACAATCATTTCGCGCCTTTTTTCCTGAGTTACCTGTGCAGACGCCATACCACAGCAAGCATGGAGCCCGCTCAGGTAACCGTCACCCTATGTCTCCTGGGTGCTGGCAGACGCGGTACGGCTTTGCTGCACAGTAGCAGCAACCCATTGCCTTCTGACAGCAGACGGTGCAATACGATTGGTAGTCGTCCTCGTCGTGTCCGAGGTGCTCCTGGCCACGTCGGCTGGGAGCGCCTGGGCAGACATGGGCGCAGGGACTAAATTTGGAGTGACTTGACCAGGTCATTCTCTTTAGTCCTGCAGTCAGTCCTCCCCACGCCCCTCATTCTCATCCTCAGCTCACACACTGTGCACAGCAACCAACTAATCTGAGCGCTGGGCTGAATTCAAAGGTTCTGCGTTCAAGTGCTGACATCCTGAGTGTCACTGAGGCGAATTGTTAAGAAACTGAATTCTTGACATTTAGGTTTAAAGTAGCTCTATGTGGGTATGCAGATTCTTGATAAATTAAAAGAGGCAGAAGAGCTCCGTTCCACAGGGAAACATTCTCCAGAGGAAAACATGCAAGATGAAGACTTGACATACCTGGACAGAAACGGGGGCTTGCTATTGCGCACGCGTGCATGTGTGGGGGGGGGGGGGTACATGCACATTTCCTTCAAGCTTGAATAAAGACTAAGAGATGCACATTGGAAAAAACAAAGCTAAAACATCAACTTTCCTTTCAATAGGATACCAGCACCTCTTTCACTCCCTGCTGTCTTCCCACCACTCACTCACAGCCAGTTGTTGAGCTGATATTTTGTCTACACTACGAAATTAGGTCGAATTTATAGAAGTCGGTTTTTTAGAAATCGGTTTTATATATTCGAGTGTGTGTGTCCCCACAGAAAATGCTCTAAGTGCATTAAGTGCATTAACTCGGCGGAGCGCTTCCACAGTACCGAGGCAAGCGTCGACTTCCGGAGCGTTGCACTGTGGGTAGCTATCCCACAGTTCCCGCAGTCTCCGCTGCCCATTGAAATTCTGGGTTGAGATCCCAATGCCTGATGGGGCTAAAACATTGTCGCGGGTGGTTCTGGGTACATATCGTCAGCCCCCCGTTCCCTCCCTCCCCCCGTGAAAGCAAGGGCAGACAATCATTTCGCGCCTTTTTTCCTGAGTTACCTGTGCAGACGCCATACCATGGCAAGCATGGAGCCCGCTCAGGTAACCGTCACCCTATGTCTCCTGGGTGCTGGCAGACGCGGTACGGCATTGCTACACAGTAGCAGCAACCCCTTGCCTTGTGGCAGCAGACGGTACAGTACGACTGGTAGCCGTCATCGTCATGTCTGAGGTGCTCCTGGTCGCCTCTGTGAGGTCGATCAGGAGCGCCTGGGCAGACATGGGCACAGGGACTAAATTTGGAGTGACTTGACCAGGTCATTCTCTTTAGTCCTGCAGTCAGTCCTATTGAACCGTCTTATGGTGAGCGGGCAGGCGATACGGACTGCTAGCAGTCGTACTGTACCATCTTCTGCCGAGCAGCCATGAGATGTGGATGGCATGCAGTCCTTCTGCACCGTCTGCTGCCAGCCAAAGATGTAAAAGATAGATGGAGTGGATCAAAACAAGAAATAGACCAGATTTGTTTTGTACTCATTTGCTTCCCCCCTCCCCTGTCTAGGGGACTCATTCTTCTAGATCACACTGCAGTCACTTACAGAGAAGGTGCAGCAAGGTAAATCTAGCCATGTATCAATCAGAGGCCAGGCTAACCTTCTTGTTCCAATAAGGACAATAACTTAGGTGCACCATTTCTTATTGGAACCCTCCGTGAAGTCCTGCCTGAAATACTCCTTGATGTAAAGCCACCCCCTTTGTTGATTTTAGCTCCCTGAAGCCAACCCTGTAAGCGCCCCTCCCAGCGTCAGAGCAATGGCAAACAATCGGGCATCTGAGAGTGCTGTCCAGAGCAGTCACAATGGAGCACTCTGATGGGGCTAAAACATTGTCGCGGGTGGTTCTGGGTACGTGTCGTCAGGCCCCCGTTCCCTCCCTCCCTCCGTGAAAGCAAGGGCAGACAATCATTTCGCGCCTTTTTTCCTGAGTTACCTGTGCAGACGCCATACCACAGCAAGCATGGAGCCCGCTCAGGTAACCGTCACCCTATGTCTCCTGGGTGCTGGCAGACGCGGTACGGCTTTGCTGCACAGTAGCAGCAACCCATTGCCTTCTGACAGCAGACGGTGCAATACGATTGGTAGTCGTCCTCGTCGTGTCCGAGGTGCTCCTGGCCACGTCGGCTGGGAGCGCCTGGGCAGACATGGGCGCAGGGACTAAATTTGGAGTGACTTGACCAGGTCATTCTCTTTAGTCCTGCAGTCAGTCCTATTGAACCGTCTTATGGTGAGCGGGCAGGCGATACGGACTGCTAGCAGTCGTACTGTACCATCTTCTGCCAGGCAGGCAAGAGATGAGGATTGCTAGCAGTCGTATTGCACCATCTTCTGCCATGCAGGCAAGAGATGGGGATGGCTAGCAGTCGTACTGTACCATCTTCTGCCGAGCAGCCATGAGATGTGGATGGCATGCAGTCCTTCTGCACCGTCTCCTGCCAGCCAAAGATGTAAAAGATAGATGGAGTGGATCAAAACAAGAAATAGACCAGATTTGTTTTCTACTCATTTGCTTCCCCCCCTCCCCTGTCTAGGGGACTCATTCTTCTAGATCACACTGCAGTCACTCACAGAGAAGGTGCAGCGAGGTAAATCTAGCCATGTATCAATCAGAGGCCAGGCTAACCTCCTTCTTCCAATAACAACGATAACTTAGGTGCACCATTTCTTATTGGAACCCTCCGTGCAGTCCTGCCTGAAATACTCCTTGATGTACAGGCACACCCTTTGTTGATTTTAGCTCCCTGAAGCCAACCCTGTAAGCCGTGTCGTCAGTCGCCCCTCCCTCCGTCAGAGCAACGGCAGACAATCGTTCCGTGCCTTTTTTCTGTGCGGACGCCATACCAAGGCAAGCATGGAGGCCGCTCAGCTCACTTTGACAATTAGGAGCACATTAACCACCACACGCATTATCCAGCAGTATATGCAGCACCAGAACATGGCAACGCGATACCGGGCGAGGAGGCGACATCAGCGCGGTCCCATGAGTGATCAGGACATGGACACAGATTTCTCTGAAAGCATGGGCCCTGACAATGCATGCATCATGGTGCTAATGGGGCAGGTTCATGCTATGGAACGCTGATTCTGGGCTCAGGAAACAAGCACAGACTGGTGGGACCGCATAGTGTTGCAGGTCTGGGACGATTCCCAGTGGCTGCGAAACTTTCGCATGCGTAGGGGCACTTTCATGGAACTTTGTGACTTGCTTTCCCCTGCCCTGAAGCGCATGAATACAAAGATGAGAGCAGCCCTCACAGTTGAGAAGCGAGTGGCGATAGCCCTGTGGAAGCTTGCAACGCCAGACAGCTACCGGTCAGTTGGGAATCAATTTGGAGTGGGCAAATCTACTGTGGGGGCTGCTTTGATGCAAGTAGCCAACACAATCAAAGATCTGCTGATATCAAGGGTAGTGACCCTGGGAAATGTGCAGGTCATAGTGGATGGCTTTGCTGCAATGGGATTCCCTAACTGTGGTGGGGCTATAGACGGAACCCATATCCCTATCTTGGCACCGGAGCACCAAGCCGCCGAGTACATAAACCGCAAGGGGTACTTTTTGATAGTGCTGCAAGCTCTGGTGGATCACAAGGGACGTTTCACCAACATCAACGTGGGATGGCCGGGAAAGGTGCATGATGCTCGCATCTTCAGGAACTCTGGTCTGTTTCAAAAGCTGCAGGAAGGGACTTTATTCCCAGACCAGAAAATAACTGTTGGGGATGTTGAAATGCCTATATGTATCCTTGGGGACCCAGCCTACCCCTTAATGCCATGGCTCATGAAGCCGTACACAGGCAGCCTGGACAGTAGTCAGGAGCTGTTCAACTACAGGCTGAGCAAGTGCAGAATGGTGGTAGAATGTGCATTTGGACGTTTAAAGGCGCGCTGGCGCAGTTTACTGACTCGCTTAGACCTCAGCGACACCAATATTCCCACTGTTATTACTGCTTGCTGTGTACTCCACAATATCTGTGAGAGTAAGGGGGAGACGTTTATGGCGGGGTGGGAGGTTGAGGCAAATCGCCTAGCTGCTGGTTATGCGCAGCCAGACACCAGGGCTGTTAGAAGAGCACAGGAGGGCGCGGTACGCATCAGAGAAGCTTTGAAAACCAGTTTCATGACTGGCCAGGCTACGGTGTGAAAGTTCTGTTTGTTTCTCCTTGATGAAACCCCCCGCCCCTTGGTTCACTCTACCTCCCTGTAAGCTAACCACCCTCCCCTCCTCCCTTTAATCATTGCTTGCAGAGGCAATAAAGTCATTTCTGCTTCACAGTCATGCATTCGTTATTCATTCATCACACAAATAGGGGGATGACTACCAAGGTATCCCAGGAGGGGTGGTGGAGGAGGGAAGGAAAATGCCACACAGCACTTTAAGCACAGCACTTTAAAAGTTTACAACTTTAAAATTTATTGAATGACAGCCTTCTTTTTTTTGGGCAATCCTCTGTGGTGGAGTGGCTGGTTGGCCGGAGGCCCCCCCACCACGTTCTTGGGCGTCTGGGTGTGGAGACTATGGAACTTGGGGAGGAGGGCGGTTGGTTACAGAGGGGCAGCAGTGGCAGTCTGTGCTCCAGCTGCCTTTGCTGCAGCTCAACCATACACTGGAGCATACTGGTTTGGTCCTGCAGCAGCCTCAGCATTGAATCCTGCCTCCTCTCATCACGCTGCCGCCACATTTGAGCTTCAGCCCTGTCTTCAGCCCGCCACTTACTCTCTTCAGCCCGCCACTTACTCTCTTCAGCCCTCCACCTCTCCTCCCGGTCATTTTGTGCTTTCCTGCACTCTGACATTATTTGCCTCCACGCATTCGTCTGTGCTCTGTCAGTGTGGGAGGACAGCATGAGCTCGGAGAACATTTCATCGTGAGTGCGTTTTTTTTCTTTCTAAGCTTCACTAGCCTCTGGGAAGGAGAAGATCCTGTGATCATTGAAACACATGCAGCTGGTGGAGAAAAAAAAAGGGACAGCGGTATTTAAAAAGACACATTTTATAAAACAGTCGCTACACTCTTTCAGGGCAAACCTTGCTGTTAACATTACATACATAGCACATGTGCTTTCGTTACAAGGTCGCATTTTGCCTCCTCCCACCGCGTGACTACCCCCTCAACCTTCTCCCCTCCCTGTGGCTAACAGCGGGGAACATTTCTGTTTAGCCACAGGCAAACAGCCCAGCAGGAATGGGCTCCTCTGAGTGTCCCCTGAAGAAAAGCACTCTATTTCAACCAGGTGACCATGAATTATATCTCACTCTCCTGAGGATAACACAGAGAGATAAAGAACGGATTTTGGTTGAATGCCAGCAAACATACACTGCAATGCTTTGTTCTACAGTGATTCCCAGTACGTGTTACTGGCCTGGAGTGGTAAAGTGTCCTACCATGAAGGACGAAATAAGGCTGCCCTCCCCAGAAACCTTTTGCAAAGGCTTTAGGACTACATCTAGGAGAACCGCAAATGCCAGGGCAAAGTAATCCTTTCACATGTTTGCTTTTAAACCATGTATAGCATTTTAAAAGGTACACTCACCAGAGGTCCCTTCTCCGCCTGCTGGGTCCAGGAGGCAGCCTTGGGTGGGTTCGGGGGGTACTGGCTCCAGGTCTAGGGTGAGAAACAGTTCCTGGCTGTCGGGAAAACCGATTTCTCCACTTGCTTGCTGTGAGCTATCTACAACCTCCTCATCATCATCATCTTCTTTGTCCCCAAAACCTACTTCCGTATTGCCTCCATCTCCATTGAAGGAGTCAAACAACACGGCTGGGGTAGTGGTGGCTGAACCCCCTAAAATGGCATGCAGCTCATCATAGAAGCGGCATGTTTGGGGCTCTGACCCAGAGCGGCTGTTCGCCTCTCTGGTTTTCTGGTAGGCTTGCCTCAGCTCCTTCAGTTTCACGCGGCACTGCTTCGGGTCCCTGTTATGGCCTCTGTCCTTCATGCCCTGGGAGATTTTCAGAAAGGTTTTGGCATTTCGAAAACTGGAACGGAGTTCTGATAGCACGGATTCCTCTCCCCAAACAGCGATCAGATCCCGTACCTCCCGTTCAGTCCATGCTGGAGCTCTTTTGCGATTCTGGGACTCCATCATGGTCACCTGTGCTGATGAGCTCTGCATGGTCACCTGCAGCTTGCCACGCTGGCCAAACAGGAAATGAGATTCAAAAGTTTGCGGTTCTTTTCCTGTCTACCTGGCCAGTGCATCTGAGTTGAGAGCGCTGTCCAGGGCGGTCAGAATGGAGCACTCTGGGATAGCTCCCGGAGGCCAATACCATCGAATTGTGTCCACAGTACCCCAAATTCGAGCCGGCAACGTCGATTTAAGCGCTAATCCACTTGTCAGGGGTGGAGTAAGGAAATCGATTTTAAGAGCCCTTTAAGTCGAAATAAAGGGCTTCATTGTGTGGACGGGTGCAGGTTTAAATCGATTTAACGCTGCTAAATTCGACCTAAAGTCCTAGTGTAAACCAGGGCTTTGAGAGGATCACCCAGTATCTCAGTGATGATCTGCGGCAGGTTTTAGGATCACTGATTTATTGGCTGAGTTTGCCATCAGCTTGATTTTTTTTTTATTTTACAAGGCCTTACTTTATTGAAAGAGGATAGGAAGACACTACCACAGAGCAGGTCCATGGTGAAAGCGCAACAGAGGGCATTTCTGACAGCAGCAGAGCACAGTTCCTTGCAAAGCACTGGTGGAATAGGGCAAGGCTCTGAGTGCAGACAGAACAGAGACTGCCTCTGTGTACAAAATGCTGGTGGGTGTGCTGTACACCTTAACCAAAGGGAGAATCCAAAACCCCCTGGAGCAGGAGCAGCTGAACATCTTGGCTTGGAGACAAAGCAAGAGTTCAAGAAAACACAACCAGGATGCCAGGACAGGAACATACACCCACAGGCAAGGATTAGAACAGACTGTGTCAGAGCTTTCTTATTTTGCAGAGAGTCTAATGGAACAGTATGTAGGTAGAGATTAAATATTGTAGAGAATCTGTCCAGAGCATCAGACAGTAACGGGGGATGAGGGATTAGTATAAAATGGAACTGAAGTACAACACCGAGAGCTACTCAAATGCACTGTATGGTGTATACAAAACAGAAGCGTCAGCCAAAGATGGTCCAAGGACATTTGGCCCTTCAGAGCACAGGACCAGCTTAGGAGGACAGTCCACGCATGGCACAGAGAAGCACCACTAGACACCTCCCCGTACGTGCTTCAGGTAGTGGGTTTTGGGCAGCAGGTTTTGATGTCTCTAGACATCAGACCTAACAGCGCTCTTCCCATCCTGTACCCCGTTCACACACATGGGGGGGGGGGGGGGGAGTTTTGAAGGAAAAGACAGATACAGTACAGATGGCAGTCACCTTCTTCATGGGCATTGCCGCTTTACAGGAGTGGGCAGCCTGTACACTTCTTGTTTTTCCTGACTTGTAAGCCAGCCCAAAGACTTCCCGCATGCCATCCTTCGTCTTGGCAGAGCACTTGAGGTATCCAAAGGCGTTGATTCTGTTAGCCATGTCCCTCCCTTCCTCTGGCTTCACTGGCTCCTGCTTCATCTTTGCTAGCTCTCTCCAGGTGTGCTCATCATTCCATAGGTCCTTCTTGTGTCCAACCAGGAAGACAGGAACATTAGGGCAGAAGTGTTTCACTTCCGGAGTCCACTTCTCTGGAATGTTCTCTAAACTGTCTGGGCTGTCAATGGAAAAGCACATGAGGATAATGTCCGTGTCTGGGTAGCTGAGGGGCCGCAGCCGGTCATAGTCTTCCTGCCCCACGGTGTCCCAAAGGGCCAGTTCCACCTGCTTTCCATCTACGTCGATATCAGCGATGTAGTTCTCAAAGACTGTTGGCACGTAGGCCATCAGGGAACGGGTCCCAGCTGAACACAGTCAGTAGGCAGGTCTTCCCACAGGCGCCATCTCCCACAATCACCAGCTTCTTTCTGATGGCTGCTGTTGCTCGGCCACAGGTCTCACTGGTTCTGGCTTGATGTCTGTCTGTCTGTCATGTGATAACTTTTGAACGCCACATCCAATCAATTCCGAAATCTCAGAGAACGCCACAGGCATCAATGGCCAGAACAGTTTTGATTTTGGGGGAAAGCAGAAAACCGAAAGGGGAAAAATGGGGGACACATGAAGCCCCTGCCATCTGATTAGCAGAGGCACAGCTTCAAGAGATGTTTGATCAACAGATAACTGACAACTAGCTGATGGCACCTATTAATGCCTTGCAGCATAACAATACCCCATCTCATCTCTACTCATCCTCCCCATAGAGTTTACTATGTTGACATCCTGAATGACTTATCTCCCAGACTAACAGTGGGGAGGGGAAGGAGGCTTGGGAGGAATGGGGGTGTACACACAGCCCTGGGCATGGCAGAGAGACTGGGGGAACCCTGGTATGGGGGTCAAAGGTGCTGATGCAGGGAAGGTAAGAATGGGGGAACACAGAGCCCCCCTGCCATGTGGGAGAGACTAGAGGACCTGGGAATTGGGGCATACAGAACCCTTTGCAGGGAGGCTCTGAACAGAAGAGGATGGGAAGGTGGCACACAGGCTGCTTGTGAGGGGGATGGGAGGAAGGCAAAGAGTCCCTGGTGCATGCCATAATCTCAGCCTATCTAAGCTATGAAGTATGCAACCCCCTCAGTTAGGGCTAGATTGCAATATTACGGTCTGCCTTGACTAAGGGGCAACGTGTAGCCACGCTGCCCCAGAACTAGCCTCAGGAGACATTACTATGATTCCTTCCTGGGTTCCCTTTGCTCCAGAGAGGATATAACCCCAGAACCCTAGCAAGTTACTTCCTCCTCAGCTGTCTCATGTGGGAGGCTGCTCTCCCAGTTGCACTGTGACCTGCAATGCAGGTAGCCTACAAAGGCGGTAAGGGGACTGCTTGTATCCCAGGACCCCCGTCACAGTCCTGCCCATAGCTGATGACAGGCAGTAACAAAGTAAAGACAGCCCTGATGCTGCTGCTGTGATCTAGCCTGGCTCCATTCTCTCTCTGCCCACCGCAGCTGGCTCCTGTTCTGTTGTGTGTGAGGCAGAGACTGGGAGAATCCATGGGAAAGGAGGCACTGCACTGGAAGATGCGTGGCAGCTTCATGCTCTCTGCTGAAGCTCAGCCCCCAATACTCTGCTCTGCCCTATGGGTATCCAGGCCTTGTATCCCATCTTTCACTCCCCAACCCAGCAGAAGCTGGGATCGATCAACCTCTGAGGAACAGGGTGAATGTTTCACATAACTCTACCCTATTTCTCCCCAGCCCCAGCTGGTTAAGGAGCAGTGTGGACCGATTACTGGACAAAATATGACACTCCTCCATGAGCAAAAGGATAGGGATTGCATCATGACTCCTCCAGGCTGGAGGTGGATAGCAGGCAGTATCAGGCCTGACTAGGACAAAGAGGACCCACAAAGGTAGAAAACAAGATGAGAACACTTGTAGATTCATTGGGCCTATCTCTACCATGAAACTAACCATGTTTATGCATAGTTGGGGGATCAACATGTCATAACAGGGTTTGGTGCTGTCTGCATGGATGTAACAACAAAGTTAAAAAACAAACAAACCAGGCGTTAGCCCAGGGCTAGATGGTCTTTCACACATTGTGACCACACAGTGTTATAGCCATCCACACAGGCAGCACTGAACCCTGTTACAACATGGTTAGTCCCCAAGGACATTAAACATCAGTATTTAAAGGCAATCAGTTTCACAGCATACCCAAGCCCATTGCACACCAAGTAGAGAGAGGTGTTATTTAGGACTACACTGGAACTGGAAGTCATTTAATGCAGTTAAGAAAAGAAAACTTCTGCGTGACTTATCACAAAAATCTCACTGCTAGAGAGATCTACTAGGGAGTTGAGGAGAATTGCTAAGGAAGCAGTGGAAACCCCAGTCTCAGGAAACACAAAACTATCTGGACAAAGCATTAGTAAGTGTATAGTAGGGAAACGTACATGAGGACTAGATATAGGTCTTTTCCATCTGCAATTTCTATTGCTCCATTTCCACAAGCACCACATGAAGAATTACATAGTGCAGTTCCAGCTCACAGCCTCTGCTGTAGATCTGTCTGGGACGCAGTTCTCTCATTTTTTCCCCATGCAGCCCACAAGAAAAAGGCGACATCCAGGAGCATCATTAGTGGAAACTGTCACTTCAGTATCTAGACACACTCACTCGTCGTGACAAGAGTCAGTCCCACTCTGCTGCTGGCTCACTTACAACAAAGCTCCGTCCATGCCAGTGTTTGATGTATCAATGTATACCAAAGGCTGGCTCAATGCTGCGAGACCACGGTAACGGATTTCCTCGTTCCCTTCCTCGCGTTAAGAGAGCAGGTGGGCACGTGCCATGTCCTATCCACACACCCATCATTGCCAAGTCCCCTGTAATTACTGCTGAGATTTCTTTACTCTGTTGGTTCCAAATGTTCCTTGTTACCAAGCCAGGAGAAGACAACCCTTGTATGACAGAGGACGTCAGCGTTTTCTCATGTGTTTTCCTCCCTGATACGATACTGCAAAGGATCAAGGCCTCACCGATACCATAAATTAATAATAAAAATACTAATGCCTTTTTTTAGCCCCTGGCATTTCAACAGTTCTTTTCACACAAAGGAACTTTACAAGCTATTTTGGCTTCACACGTTCTACAGACGAGGAAACTAAGGAAAGAGAAGTTTGTGTGATTTCCCCAAAGTCAGGCAGCATCCCAGGAGCTGAAGTTCTTCAGCCTCTGTTCCACGCACTAGAGACCACAGAGAAGTGAAGAAAGATGTTCCCCCAGGAAGTTCTGCATCACTGCAGTTGGAAGGAACATTTGAAAAGGTGAACATGGTATCCTCTTAAATGGCCGCCTGCTGCGGATCTTTTCCTTTTTGGGGACAAATAAAGGCCTGGTCCTATGTCCACTAAAGTCACTTGACTTCAGTGGAAGAGGCCCTCAGTAAACCGTGCTCAATTTCACATTCTCTATGCCGTACAGAGTTCAGCTTCTACGGATTGTTAATAGAAAATGACATTCGAAATCGTAACTGAACAGATCAGACTGAAAGGAAGGATCCCCCGGGGAAGCCAGATTTTGAGAAATAAAATAATTTTTCAGTTTGTGAAAAGATCAATAGAGTAAACAATGTCAGGATTCCTCTAACAACATCCATTAGACTCGTATTGACGAAAACCAGCACTACTTGTAAATACAGCACAGTCACCTGAAGCCAGGTTTTCAAAGAGCTCAGTACGTCGGGGGCTGGATTTATTTTTAAGACACAAAACCACACAGCCTGGCCACAAGCATCTCACTGGGAACAAATATTAGTGGCAGCAAAGCACTCAGTTCCTGTTTGTGGAGGGACCAGAGGTTGCTAGGGAAGGATATGATTTGTTCCTGGCTGCTGAATTTCTAGAGCTTACCTTTAATACTAAACACCTAGTTTTGGGGGAATGAGTGGCTCAGGGGACTGGTAATGGGTAAATATATATCTGAATTGGTAAAACAGGTGAGAGGTTCTAGGGGTAACGACAAGTGGCCTGAATTTCAGAGGAGCTGAGCACCTGCAGTTCTCACTCATATCAATGGAAATAGAGGTCAGTCATCGCCTCTGAAAATCAGACCAGAGAATACCGGGAGGCTCGGGAACTGACAAAAGGGGAAGCGCAGATACAATATGAACATGCAGCCACTTGAGAAATTAACGTATGTACTTTGAGGGCTATGCAGTTTGGGCTTTTTTTCAGTTGTTGGGTTTAGTATGCGGTGCTGGGTGGGGTTGGGGCCCGTGCTATACCGGAGGTCAGACTACATGATCTGGTAGTTCTGCCTGGCCTTAAACGGTCTGACCCCTTGACTCTAATTCTGTATGCACTTAAAATATTAGGTTATTCCTGCCTTGTCTTACAGCTTGATCCTACAAACACCTAGTACCAAATGTACCGCTTATTGCCAGAAGTAGCTCCTCGTCTTCAATAGGATTATTCACACTATTAAGTACTACACTCAGTATCACGTTTTTGCGGGATCAAACCCTTAGACTACAAACTCTTCAAGGCACATCTAGGAGCCTGCATACTTAGTAAATAACAGAGCAGCAGAGCCTGTATCACCAGGTTGCTATGGCAGAAGTGCGCAAAGGCTGTTGCCCTCAGATGGCTGGTCTGTGAAATCTCAACGGGATTAATCTAGTTCCCCCAAACAAACAGACACCAGCACCACATACTCCTGAGGGCATTCTGTGCAAAAA